AAAAAAAAAAAAAAAGTATGTGCTATGTAGGGAATATATAAATTTATATTGCATCTCTGAATTACTGTATAATATTACTTTTATGTATATTAATAATACTTACACTGTCGAATTGCTTTCCTCATGAGGATTTACAGTCTCATCAAATTAATCACCATACATGATTCACATTTGCTTTTTTCTTAACCATAACATTTAAAGACACAATAAACTATTGTTGAAATTAATAATTATGTAAATCTTCTCTTTCCATACAAGGAAGATTTTTTTCTTTTAATAAATTGTTTTGTGTATATCTGAGATTCATAATGTGATGCTATGGGACACTGAGACCCTAAAATGGTGACCATAGTGAAGCAGATAAAGATGTCTATCATCTCACACAGCAATCAGTTTTAACAAATTTCTCACCTGAGGTGACAGAAGGGATTTTATAGCTGGAAGTGATGCGATAATACGGGGGATTATCCATGTGAGTGACCCCTGAACTGACAGGATCGGTCAGCTGAAGCTCACTCACCAGCTCTTCTAGTAACTGCATTGTTTTATCTCTACCTAAATATACAATGACCTTCTTCACCTGTTACAAAAGAAATTGTTCAGAAAAGAAAAAGCAAAGTTTTTATCTCATTCATTCATTTCTCTTGAGACAAATTTTATCAGAGTAGACAAATTTTATCAACTTTAAGTGGTAGATGAATAAACACAATCTAAATCAAAATTGGCACTGATCGACAATAAGACATTAATCAGCTTTATCAATACTGTCCTCCCTCTAACTCTCAACATTAGGTCTAATTAGGATGAAATGAACATGTTTGGTGGTTTCTACTTTATGCACTTTTTTGCTTTTTTTTTTTTTTTTAAAAAAGCAAAAAAATGCTTTTCTGTAAAAAAATTTTTAATGGAAATACTTCCAGTTAACAACATCCTAAGATTTTCCTCTGATTTTTAGTTAGCCGGCCTCCAAAGTCAGGGCTTATCTTTTGTTCTGCCTTCCCCATTCCCTACAGTCAACCAGAGTAGTCATTAAGAGCAAGGAACCAGAACTAAACTAGAACTCAAACTATACATTGCCGGGTTTGGAATGTGGATATACCACTTACTAATTTTATCATTTGGAAAGTTACTCTTAGTTTTCTCATCTGCAAAATGGGGGCAGTAATAGCACCTACTTCAAACGGCTGTTAGGAAGATTAAATGAATTAAGGTTTATAATGCACTTTAAAAATGGCTAGTAACATAGTATGAGTTAAGTAAGTAGAAAAACATTTCAGTAGTATATATTATACGTATGTTTTAGTAATGCGTATTACTGAAATAACTTTGTAACTGATCAGCATATCTCCTTTTCTCCCTACTTTAATCCTTACTACTTAAAATGTGGTCACAGCAAGACAGACATCGTCATCTGGAGTTTGCTAGAAATAGAGAATCTCAGGCCCACCCCCGCCTCCAGAATCAGAATGATTCATATTCTTACAGACGTTATGAAAAACCCTCCTTTAGATGACCCCGGATGACTCTTAAAACATGATTTACTATATCACAACAAAATTCTTTTTTTTTTTTTTTTTTTTAAGATGGAGTCTTGTTCTGTCACCCAGGCTGGAGTGCAGTGGCACCATCTTGGCTCACTGCTACATCTAACTCTCACGTTCAAGTAATTCTCCCTGCCTCAGCCTCGTGAGTAGCTGCAATTACAGGTGCCTGCTGCCACACCCAGCTAATTTTTGTAGTTTTAGTAGAGATGTGGTTTCGCCATGTTGGCCAGGCTGGTCTTGAACTCCTCACCTCAGGTGATCCGCCAGCCTTGGTCTTCCTAAGTGCTGGGATTATAGGCATGAGCCACCATGCCCAGCCAAAACTCTTACAATGATTACCCAGTGATAACCTTCCATGCATGGCTCTTGACTCCATCCAATAGGCCCCACTTGCTGGTTCTTTCTGCTCTCAGGTTCCACCTCCTCTGAGCACGGTGTGTGCATTCCTGCCTCTGTGGCTTCCTTCTGCCTCACTACGGATCACTCCCAACCCTAATCCTATCAAGTCTTCAAGCCCCATTCCCCACCTTAACTCTACTCCATGAAGCTTTTACTGACTTCACAACCAGATCTGGGTTGGAATTCTAGATCTATTAAGTGACAGAGTGAGCCCTTGAGGAAATTACTGATCTCTCTGCCTTGTTTTCTCATCTGTAAAACTGCAGTGATCTCACCAAACTCACAGATTTATTCTGAGAATTAAATAATGTGGATGAAGTGCTTTTACCATGCCTATGATAAGCACCTATAATAAGTACTTAAAACAGAACCAAGAAATTATTATTGACACTAAAAATGACTCCTTTTAAATTCCTGGAAAATGGCTATTCCCCAGATTTCCACTTGGCTTTTTCTAGTTCTGGCTCTAACTCCCCCATTCATTCATCCAATTAACGGGTATCTTCTATGTGCCAGGCACTACTAAATGGGAATTTAGTGGTGAATCAAATAGACAAAAACTACCACTCTTAAGGAGCTTACAATCTACTGGTTGAAGCAAAACTAATGAGGTAAATAGGTAAAATGTATCATGTGTTTGGTGATGATTAAGTGCCAGAAAGATCAATGAAGCAGGGAAAGGAAATGAAGTATGTGTGCGGAGGTGAGGCATTTGCAGTTTTAGACAGGATGGGCAGCAGAAGTCCCAGTGAGCACTGACACCTGAAGGAGGACCTAAAAGAGGCAGGGAGTGAGTAATGTGGGTAACTGCGGAAAGAGCAGGCAAGTGAGTACAAGGGCCTGGAGGAGGGAGAGCCGGCAGCAAAGGGGGCCAGCACAGCTGGGGGGTTGGAGCACCCCAGAGAATACAGGAGACACAGTCAGAGAGGTGATGTGGGGTAACGTTGTTTGGCACTACACACCAACAGTTCTCTAGGCACTTCTCAAAGGCGCTACGCCTGTGGTACACCTTGGCAATGATGCTTTCAGTGACCAAGCAAACTCAGGGAATGCTGGGTAAAGCAAAGCTATTAAGTGGTTTGGTTAAAATAGAATCTGTAGGAAGTTTCACTTACTTATTTTTAATTTATTTTATTATTATTATTATTTTTGAGACAGTCTCACTCTGTTGCCCAGGCTGGAGTGCAGTGGTGTGATCTTGGTTCACTGCAACCTCTGCCTCCTGGGCTCAAGCAGTTCTCCTGCCTTAGCCTCCCGAGTAGCTGGGATTACAGGTGTGCAGCAACACACCTGGCTAATTTTTGCATATTTAGTACAGATGGGGTTTCACCATGTTGGCCAAGCTGGTCTCAGATTCCTGATCTCAAGTGATCCACCCAACTCAGCCTTCCAAAGTGCTGGGATTACAGGTATGAGCCACCGTGCCCAGCCTGTAAGAACTTTTAGATAACCTTCTGTAGAAGTAGTCTTCCTTGGACCACACTTTTGAGGGATGCTGCCACAGGATGGATATCTATATCTGTATCTACAAGACATGTGTGCATGTGTGTATATTCTATTTAACCCTGTCGTTTGATAGTTTCGTATCAAACATGTCCTCTTGACTTGGGCAGATTTGGATGTTGCTTTCTCTCCTGGAAGGCAAAGTTGTTACCTTCTTAATTTTGTATCCCTTACCATGCTTTCCCTTGCTTCCAGCAGCCTAGAGGACAATCTTGCAGTCACTCAGCTCTCACCCACCATCCTGTTCTTGTATCTAAATGCCAGCTCTGCCTAGCAGAAACTAGAAACATCCCCAATCTGTGGTTTCAGCTTCGATATCACTTTCTCTCGAGTGTCATCTTGAATCCTTCTAGACAGCTGTGGTTCCTACGTTTTTTACTCTCAGAACTGTGCAATTTTCCTTTATCATACTGTACTGTATTAACTTACTGATTTATTCATTAAATAAATTAGATGTAGGTTCAACGAATAAATTCTGTATTACCCATCAGATTGTAATGCCCAGAGGAGCACCTGGCCTGTCATAATGATGGATAACATTTACTGACTGAATCAATGAATAAATCCATGTGCTACCTCCTGACTGTCTTCATCTGGCCCTTGCCTTACCTCTCCCGGGCAACTGCTGCCCATGCTCTGACATTACAAGATACTGGTAAATATATACATGTATTTTAAAGTTAAACAAACTTGAATACATACGTAAGGCAAGAGGCTTGGTTCACTATTCACCCCACAAATGCTGATCAGAAAGTGCAAAATGATTTTCAGGTTTTTTGGCCAGCCATCTGCAAGTGTGGTCCACACGTTCTCCACCTCTGACCAGGCCAGTTCATCGCCATACTAGATGCAATATGCATAAAAGATACTTTAGTCATGACTGCCTACTATAAAAACCAAACATGTCATACCATGAAATATTAAGAAATAATGTTTTGTACAGATAGCTTTAATCATTTCCACACTTTACAAAAACAATCATTTCTTTCAACAAATCAAAACATAAATATCATTAATCATACATGGTTTTAGTAAAAAAAAATTCACATCTAAAGAGTTTTTTTTTATAATGCATTTTTGTTTGGTTATCACACGATTACGGAACGTCTTCATCTGTTTCTAACCACATCTACTAACTCAATAATACTGTGCAGCAATTATAAGTACAAAACTCATTTTACCTTTGCTGTCATATACATCAGATTGTTCAAAACCATTGCAGTGGCTTGTGGAGATCCCCATCCTTCTCCCCGTAACCAGCGCCTGCTAGTCACCATAAGTTCTCGGTCTTTTAAGGAATCTTCTTCATCTTCATCATGTCGCCTTGCTGTGGGCAGAGGTTTTAAGTCCACCAGCTCAATGTTGTTCATCCATGGTAGCAGGTAGTGCAGCATCACCTGGCGCCCAGCAGGGTGAGCTGTCTGGATTCTCTGGCTTATCTCTGAAAGTGAAAACAAGTCAAAGAAGAGAACTGATGTAATTTCGGCTTCCTCTGATCCATAATTAATTTCAACAGGTTTCAGAAGCCAGATTTTATTCATTTTACTCATTACACTTAACAATTATGAGTACTGTTTTTCCTTTTAGCAAATTTCACCTCAATGACATCATACAGTTAACAACTCACATAAATCACATACATTTTATACAAAATACTTTTGGCAGCTAAAATAAATGTTTGTGCACTGTTGTTGGCATCGTAAATAGTACATACTTTATGAAAAACAGTATGGTGATTCCTCAGAAAATTAAAAATAGAACTATCATATGATCATGAATCCTACTCCTAAGTATACATTTGAAAGAATTGAAAGCAGAAATTCAAACAAATATTTGTACATCCATGTTTGTAGCAGCACAATTCATAAGAGCCAAGAGGTAGGTGGAAGCAACCTAAATGTCCATTGACCGATGAATGAATAAACCAAATGCATATACACATAGTAGAATATTATGCACCCTTAAAAAGGGAAAAAAGGAAAAAAATCCTGCCATATGCCAAAACATGGCTAAAGCTTGAAGACATGCTACCTGAAATAAGCCAGTTACAAACAAAAATACTGTATGATTCCACATATATGGAGTACCTAAAGTAGTCAAATCCATAGAAACACAAAGTAGAATTGTGATTACCAGGGTTTGGGGGCAGAGAGAAAAGGAGGAATGTTATTTAGTGGGTATAGACTTTCAGTTCTGCAGGATGAAAAAGTTCTGGAGGTCTGTTTCACAACAATGTGTATTCTGGAACTGAAAAATGATTAAGTGTGGTGGTTCACACTTGTAATCCCAGCACTTTGGGAGACTGAGGTGGGTGGATTCGGAGGGTCAGGAGTTTGAGACCCGCCTGACCAACATGGTGAAACCCATCTTTACTAAAAATACAAAAATTAGCCGGATATGGTGGCATGCGCCTGTAATCCCAGCTACTCAGGAGGCTGAGGCAGGAGAATTGCTTGAACCTGAGAGGTGGAGGTTGCAGATGGAGCACCACTGTACTCCAGCCTGGGTGACAGAGCAAGACTCTGTCTCAAAAAAAAAAAAAAAAGATTAAGATGGCAAATTTTATGTTTTTTTATCACAATGAATAAAAATGTAATCAAAAGATAAAAGGACATCTTTATACACAGATTAATTTTAAACTGACCCATTAAGAACCTCACAAATTTTGGTTCTATATAGGGGAGATGCCTATGATGTGCCTGTTATGTTTACAATCATTGACTTTAATGCTTATGACAAACCTGTGAGGTGGGTGGAGTCAGAGTAATTTGCTGAACAATTACCAAATGGCAAAGATTCAAACACAAGGTCAATTCCAAAGCCCATGAGCCTTTTATATATTGTTTAATTTCCATAAATCATTAAAAGTAAAAATCTTTCTCCTCTGCTCCTCTCTTTTCCTGCTAGACCCTGTACTTACTTACTCATTAGGAAAGTGACTTATAACCTGGCTCTGGAATTACACAACCCTGGGTTTGAATCCCACAGATCTACCACATATAGACAGCCTGATCTAGGGCTAACCTGTCCACCTCCAATCCTTGATTTCTTATTCTGTAAAAAGAAAGTAACAAAATTAGTTGCCTCATGAAGTTATTGTGCAAATCCGATAGAATGCCAATGAAGTGCTCAGTCCTGGTATGCGGTTATGCTCAACTTTAACCTTTTACAAAGGTTCTATTAAGACATCAATTTATTACCTCTGGTATAAAGTAAAAGACATGGAGTTCAGAAGCTGAATGAAGAGATCCTGACTAGGGAAGGAAGAGTCTGTGTCTGTGGAAGTAGGGGTCACGGTGGTGGCTTCATCTCCTGGAGGGAGATGAGACTGTAGGAGGTGGGGGCTCAAGATGATACCCCAGGAACACTAATACTTAAGATGCGGGGCTGGGTACGATGGCTCACACCTACATGTAATCCTAGGATTTTAAGAGGCTGAGGTGGCCAGACTGGGTAACACAGCCAGATACCCTCCCTACAAA